ATCGCCACACTCACACCCACATCGATAGTTATGGCCACACACACCCACACACACCCGCAGTGCTTTATTCAATTTTGGGGTCGTCATAATGTTTTTTTTCCATGTGATAACATCTGTTCAAAATTGATTAATGCTGATGGCAACTGGAAATTTGGACGCCATATTTGTATGGATAAAACTAAAGTAAGTTCATGCTTTATAATCAGTCTAATGTGTAGTATTTTAGTGAAGAATATCAAACATTTTCATTGGTATTGATTCATGAAAACAAATTCACTAGATCATAAAAGTTTCAATAGATATGTTTTTTACTTTCGTAGCAAACATAAAACATCTTATTTTATAAGTCAATTACTCGATATTGCTTGTAATAACAATCTAATAATTCATGCATGTCATACAAAAGAATTTTTCATATTCAAGTCAGAACAACTGCTGAATTTTATTCCGTCATTGTCCGGTGTGATAAAACACCAAAGCCCGGTGTAGATTACTGTGATGAGCATCGTGATCGTCGGCATGTATCTATTATGAGTGACGATGAAGATTGTATAGACAACGAAGATTTTATCAAGCTAAGAAATGGTAAGCAATATATGCGTTATCAATCACTTACCTGTAACACCACAAAAAGTTTTCCGATGAAGTATGTTAGTGCTTGTCATCGATCATTTGTCATAATAGTATATTTCACGAACTGTGGGGTATGCTTGTCAATAAATGAAATTTACCGAGGTGAAACTGTAAAAGAAATTTTAATGGTATGGTTCGACATTATTTCAGCAACAAGCACTAATATTAAATCAACTCTACCTAGTGAAGTAGCGAATACTCCTCTACCTCGAGTAATCTTATATGGTGATTGTTGCCATTTAATTAAGTATCTGATTGATTACTATGATTATACCATCCACAAGACACCAGCATCGAGCTGGCTTATAAATTGCCAATTTGCTATCGACAAACTTCACTGGCCGAATCATAAAGATATATGGTGTCGTAAATATTTGTGTCCTTACAAGTAAGAGTATTTTGTATTTATTATTCTTAAATTATCACATAATTTGCTAAGAAGAGATGCACTACTTCATTGATTCACTTGTTAGAAAATCATGATAGGGAAATGGCCAAATCGAGTGTTCAACGTCAGTCACTTTTAACAATTATCAATGTTTTAGAAGAAATTTTTTCAATAAGTTCAGTGTCTAATTATTCACAAAATATTTCGAGAGATTTTTTCTGATAAAATAAAATGCACAACTTGAGCAATAGTGTGAGTGAAACACGAAAAGAGAGACGTCAGTTTTTGTGATGACAAATATGAAAATTTTTTTAAATATATTTCGATATAGAGTACATTTCCATATAATCCAATGCAAAAAAACAACTTTTGCTTAATATCAGGACACGTTTTTCTAGAACTTTATATATATATAGAAAGTACTATTAGTCGATGGAATGATGCAAAAGTATATGACAGTTGTATAAGATAATACATTTTGGTTCTATTTTAACGAATTAAGAGTTCATCAATCAGTGCACCAGCATATGTATCATTAAGAAAAAAAAAGTATAAAAATACACTTCAGAACAATTTTCAAACCTGAAAATGCTGAAAACTCTTCTCATTTACTCTTTCTATGTAGAAATCCAGTTGTACAAGCCAACAATACGCAATCATGTGAACAAGCAAATTCAGTGTTAAAGAAATATGTCAATCAATTCAACAGAATGAATGAAGAGCGTTCAGTTTTAATGCTTTATTTTCTAATGCATGGACGTAATTGTATTTTAAAAAAGTTGAATGTTTTTGAGCGTTGTGTAGCATCAAACAAGGTTAGCTTTAAAAAGAAAAGCAACATATTTACTATTGAAATTTTTAGGACTCGGATTGGAATACATTCAAACCGACTGTTTAGTATTTGAATCACTCAAACTTTCGTTTTGATGGTGACATAATATTAACTTCAATCGTTTCATGTATATATTTAGTTGAATTCCTCAAAGTTTACTTGTATATGTATCGTGGTTTGTTTATTCTTTATTGTAATCATAATTCCATTTTTTTCTTAAAATATATGCTAGTTTCTTTTAGATGAAACCAATTAAAAATAACTTAATATAAATTTTTTTTATTTGTTTCAGATGCCAATGAACACAAGATTCGCTGCCAATCGTCGTTCTGTACGACAAACGCAAACATCAAAATGTAAAAAGCTTCCAGGATTTTTATTGCAAGGTTTAACACATCGAAATAATGTAAATCAAAATGAAGAATCTTCATCATTTTCGGACGTAGAGGTATGTATTTTATATAACCTAAATTTTCTCATTTAACACTGTATTTCAAAAAAAGCTTTGTGGAAAGACATTTAGGGAAGTAAACACTTATCAAAAAGAAATTTCAGTTAATAAATGTTCTTATTATACTTAAGAATAGATGCCACATATGTATACCTGAAGGACCTACAAATAAATATTTACTGAAGATTCACAGACACATAATTTTCATTACTTTCAGAATATTTCAATACACAATCAAAAGCGTGACAATTCAAATGGTATCGACAGTCGAAGTAACGATCGTCTAGCAAAAAAAACACGAATGGTAATAATAATGAAAATGGTGCCGAGGACGCTAACTACAAACTGAATGCTAATTTCATTAAATCTCATTATATTTAGAATGAAAATGAGATCGAAATGCATGACAGCGATTTGTTAGTAGCTGATTCAAGTCCTATAACTTATTGTAAAGATCTATCACACCTGGTAAATACATCATATACTATAGCACGCAACAGAAAGTTACATGAAATTTATAAATCTCTATTTACCTTCAACAAAATGACAATCAAGAGTTCATGTTATCCACTTATAACATGGATCAACCACCTAATTTATCACTCAATGACGACAATGCAAAATGTCATCAACACTCATTTACGTCTGAACAACAAGTCAATTGTTTGTCGACCAACAACCAAATGGATCATCATACAGAACAACATCAAAACTAAACACCAGCTGCACAAGTAAACATCAATGGAACAAATCCCGAAAATTTCCTTAATGAAAAACAAGACTACAATGATGGCCAATGAAGTATTGATACTAATTTAACTAATCAACACCTCAATACTCAATCTTCGTTGGCTGATAGTGATCCAACACTGAAAGAAAATCCATTTAACAATGACGAAATTCAAGAGCAACATATATTAGATCCAACTGCCGCTGCTAACTTCCAGATAGACGATAAAAGCCATTATACAACGTACTTTTATAAACAATCAGACTTTAAAGATTATTCAAATTCTAGAATCGAAGCGCGTGCACCTATATTGTTCACTGGTAAACGATTTATTTTATAAATCCTTATCATCTAAAACTTTAATAAAATATCACTAACTAAATCGTTTACTACTGACTTCGTCATAAGGTGTGGGTGTGAGTCTGCTCATAACTGTCGGTGTGTGTGTGTGTGTGTGGCCATAACTATCGATGTGGGTGTGAGTGTGGCGATAACTGTCGGCGTGGGTGTGAGTGTGGAGATAACTGTGGGTGTGGATGTGGGTATGCGTGGGCGTGTTAGCCCAAGTAAGCAAAAAATGAATGGAGACTGCCGACATGACTAGTCAGAAATGTCCGCAGCTGCCGTCAAGTCTAGTCTGAAACGTCTTGCATACCCGTCTTGTCTAGTCAGAAATGTCCGCAGCTGCCGACAAGTCAATTCTGAAGCGTCTTGCATACCCG